TTTTTGTCCGGGAACGGCCGAACACGTCTCCAAGGGGGGGGCAAACGTTCGGCCGTTTTTTTTTTTTTGTGTGTGTGTCCGGGAACGGACGACCGAACGCGTCTCCAAGGCGGGGCAAACGTTTGGCCGTTGGGGTTTGGCAGATCGTCCGGACCCAAACGCTGGCTACCGTGCTCACAGATGCTCCCCCCCCACCCCCCCGAAAAGAAAAGAAGCCTCGACCAGCAAAGCCGAGGGGTCATGCATGCCGCAAAGAAAAGAGCGGCCGCAGGTGAGTGGACCCAAGAGTAAGCCGCCACCACGATGTTTCCAAGTGTGGGGGGAGATTATTTTGGCGCCCAGCCACAAGGCTAGGACGGATGGGGAATGAAGGCCAGGAAATTAGTTATACCACCAATACTTCGCACAGCCATTTTTCTCCCGATGCAGCTGTTAACATGCCACAAGTTCTGCGGGGCGGCCTACTGGGGCAAAATGGCTGGCGACACCAGCCAAATGGACGGCCTCGCTGTTATGTTTTTTCTTTTGTCACGTAGGGTTTTTCCAGCCTCTGGAAAAAGAGGCTCGGAAGTAGTGGTGGTTTTAAACCACCAGTACATCCAGCTATCGGCCGAGGGCCCTTTTCAGAGGCCGCCGCTGCCGATTCAATTTATCTACGGCGCTGGGCCTCCGAAATTTTTGCAGGCGACGAGTTTTCTTCTTAGCAAGGCTGGGGCCATGTACTGGCGGTTCAAAGGGCTTCACCGTGTGACCCTGGGGAGGCGATAAATATTGAAAAGGGAACCATCGGGTGGAAAGCCTGAGGCGGAGTGAAGAGTAAGGTAAAAAAATACTGAAAATGTGTGGAGGGGTTGGCAACTTGGCACGGAGACGCTGGCAATCCGAAAAATATCCAGTGGAAAGACACAAGCAAAGGAAGAGAATGAGAGGAATGAAAGATCATCAATAAATCAGGGCTGTAATTTTTTTTATTTTTTTTAATTATTTTTTATTACTATTATTTTTTAAGGGCTGTAAATTTGAACATGAGGGGAATCTGTAGCAAGAAAAAGAAAAGATGAGGGCGCGGTTCCCATCCCAACAAGTGATGCTCCCCACCAATAGACTGGAACCTGTGGTTTTCCAAAAACAAAAAGGGATGAAGAGAAAAGGAGCAAGGCACTTGGATTGGCAATACAGAAAAAGAAAAGGGGGAGAGGGGGGGGGGCTAATTTGATAACTACTATATAATGAATAAAAGTAAATGGAAAAGACAAATGGCAGTAAGGACTTCGATTGCTCACCTCTTAAACAAGGGAATCTTGCAAAATGGTGAATAAATAAAATAAAGAGAGCCAATGTCAGCAAAAGGTTAACACTCTCCATAGTTGGGTTTCAGAAAATGAAAAACTGAACCAAGTGAAAAAAGAAATAGAAAAGACTGCAAAAAGAAAAAGAAAAAAGAGTGGTAAAGACTGTAAAGTCCAAATATAAAACACCTCCTTTGGCAAACTACCAGGTAGTTGGTTGGGATTCATTTTTATTTTTATTTTTTTAATATATATTTTTTCGAATTTGAATAGTACGGTTTCTGAGCTTCTCAGAATTTGTCCGAGTTCATTCGCCGTGCTGCTTTAGGAATTTTCGAACAGCACCACTAGCACAAGAGGGTGTGTTTTGTAAAAAAAAAAAAAAAAAAAAAAAAACTAAGCTCATAAATATTATTGAATTTTCTACAAGCAGTTTGTTCCTTGAGGATTCCTAGGATCTCCTTGTGAGGCAGTGGAGATGAACATTCGGTAATGTCGCCTTCGATAACCCAAGTCGTGCTCTTGATGGTTCGGTCGATAGACTCTATACCGTCTGGAGACTTGCTTTCAACCCATTGTGATAGTGCGCGGTGTACTTGTATTTTATGGTTGCCCGAACTTGACTGACTGTTTTTTTTGTTTTTTTTGGTTGCAAAAGGAAGAACTTTAACTTGACGGACTTTGGCGATCCGCCACGCAAAAAAGTGTAGGAATTCATGCGTCTCTGAAGTGTTGGATGTAAAGTGGCATCCAAAACGTCTTTGAAATCTCGAAAGGATCTCGTCTTATGGTAGGTCGCAAAGCGCAGTGATTCGGTCCCCGTGGACCTGCTGGACACGAAGTGGCAGGTGCTGCCCCCACCAATAGATGGCGCCTCCAATCGCGCAGCCACTTAGGGAGGCTGCTCATATCACCTCCCTAAGTGCTGTCCAGGACTCGGAAGTTCCATTTAAAAAATAAAATAAAATGAAAACTTGAAAAGTGGTGGCCAAACCTGTCTCAAAATCTATTGTGTGTATTCTATTTAGAATCTCAAAAGAATCTAACAGTCCAAAAGATTATAAAAATATCAGTACACTTTGGTGCAATCAGACTCAACTTATTCACACTTTTTATGCACGTGAACAGCAGCACAACAAACTGGCGACATGCGCCCACACAGTACTCAGAGATATGGCTTCCAGGTAAGTTCACTTCCACTGGCTATGGCGACTGAGCGCCCAACATCCCACTGTTCACACACCCTGGATCACCCTGGATATCCCACACGCATCACTCGGAACATGCACCAACATCCCACTGTTCACACACCCTGGATCACCCTGGATATCCCACACGCATCACTCGGAACATGCACGCAACTCACACGCATACTACTACAGCTATGGCAGCGCTCGCTGCCTCTACCCTATCGCTATGCTACACTTCTCTGCCCACTTCGACTTCGGGCCTACTGCAGACCTTCTCGCATAAGACGCTGAGGCAGCACTTCCGCATGGCTTCCGCAGGAATGAATGAATGGCTGTGCGCAGCCTCTTGATTTATACTTCCGTGACTCGTTGGTCTGCCCTGTTTCCCTGGCCCACGGTGTGCACAGTCCCAGACGGTACTTGCTTGACTGGACCGGACTAACTGGACTGGGACTGCTGACTCTGCGTGGTGGACCTCCACCACTTGCCCACTTGCCTAGACCTACAGTGGGCCGACTTCCGAAAGGCCACTTCTAGAAACCTCTATCTGGCCTTTCGGTACTGTAGCAGCTACGACTCTGCCCTTTCAGGTAGGTAGCAGCTACGACTTTGACCCTTTGGACAGTCTACAGCTACGACCTCTGGACTGTCTAGACTCCTACCCGACATGTCTACAGTTCGAATCCCTCATACCCTGTAGCCTATGAGATCCTACCTACCACTGGCAGCCCTGCAGGTCGCAGGCTCAAATCTACGGGTGGACACAGGTACTGTACACAGGTAGGGTGGGGAACTAGGGATCGAGCCCTGGAATCTGCATCAGCTACTGCGAATTGGTGAATACCGTTTCACTCGCGCCGGCCTAAATTCGAGGTCCTCCGAGAATGTTTCAGTCCAAGACGGGACCTTCACCCTTTTTGTCCCACTCATAAGCGTGAACTATGTCTTGAGCTGTTTCTAGAAGTTCAGATCTAGTAAACCACCGGTCGTCTTCAGGTTCCTGATAAGCAAATCGGACTTTATACTGTTTCTGGGGACGACCTCTACCTCCTGTTCTAAACACATCTTCACCTACAATGCCGTCAATGTCATACCTCCCATCCATGTTAGGTGGGATCATGGATCGTCTAAATGGGAATTGATCACTCGCTGTACATGCCAACAACTTTGACTCATGGAAAGCTGGATAGGTGTGGAGGTGTAGTGGAAGCTCCACGGTGTAGGACGGACCATCCTCGCCACCTTTGACTTTTAGAACTGGCCATGGCCCTCTATATGTAGGCAGTGACTTTTGTGAGATGTTCTCCTCAGGAGCAAACTCTTTAGCGCTGACCCAAACTAAGTCGCCTACTTGGAACTATGAGGGGCGACGATGTTTGTTGGCTTGCTCTATCATCCTATGCTGGGCCTTCCTGAGGTTCTCTACAACGGTAGCTAGTTCTTTCTCGTGCTGTATAGCAAACTCCCTAGTATCGGGCGGTAGCCTATGGATCTGATCCCGGTTAAGTCCTTCAAATGGTCTGCGCGGTCTGAAGGACTTGTGCAGTTTGTTGGGAGTGCGGCACGTAGACAGATGCACACTATTGTTGTAAGCACTGGCTACCTTGGGAAGCATCTCGTCCCAGTCAACTTGATCTGGTCTAATGTACATTCTCAGAACTTGCTGCAGGATTTTATTCATCTGTTCAGTCTGACCGTTGGTCTCTGGATGACAGCCAGATGACATTAACAACTTGAGCCGTAGACTTTCATCAACTCCTGCCAGTTCTGACTCGTGAACTGGGTGTCTCTATCACTGACTATGGACAATGGGACCCCGTGCTCACTGACCCAATGATAAAAAAACTTATGAATGACTAACTCTGTTTGCGCCTCTGAAGGCAAAGGAACAAAAATAGCATACTTACTAAATCTATCGACTATCACCATGACTTGGCTCTGGCCATGTCTACTCTTGACGCCCGCGTCCATGAAGTCGATGGATACCGAATCTCCGGGCTGATCAGGGATAGGTAAGGGTATGAGAAGGCCTAACGGGGCACGCGTAGTGGTCTTATTCCGCTGGCATACTTTGCAACTATGAACATACTCTATGCAGTCATTCTTCATACCCGGCCAAGTGTACGCGTGCATTAGATTGGCTAGAGTCTTCTGCCAACCGAAATGACCCTCTGTGTCGTGACATTCTCCTAAGATCAAACTGCGGATCTCTTCACTATTGGGAATGCACAATTGGTCAAATACATTAGTCTTTTCAAAGAGCAGGCCCTCAGTAGTGCGGTAATCTGGCTCGGTCTCAGGGGCCTCCTTTGCTTTCTTAAGAAGGTCACTATAGATGGGGTCATGTGCGTACGCTTCTCTGACCTTTTGCTGAAGGTCTTTCCCGATGTCCAGATAGTGAACTATCGCTCCAAAGTAGTCAGCTCTCCTACTCAGAGCGCCCGCAACCACATTATACTTCCCTTTGACTGGCTTGAGCTCGAAATCATACTGGTCTATTTCTGCGGCCCACCTAGTAAGCTTAGGTGTCATCTTGGCTTGCGTCTTCAACCATCTTAACGTTTCGTGGTCGGAATAGACTTTGAAGTGCCTCCCAAGCAAGTAGTGCTTCCAATGTTCTAATGCTTGCCTGAGAGCGTAGAGTTCCCTCTCATAGGTAGATGTCGCAACCTTCTCTGAAGGCATCGTGGCAGGTATGAACTCTACGGGCCTATACCCATTGCCATCGTCTTGCTGCAACACAGCACCTATGCTGTACTGACTAGCGTCCGTAGTAACGACAAAGGGTAAGGACGGGTCGGCTACCTTAAGGACTGGATACTCTATTAATGCCTGCTTTAACTTCTTCATAGCAGACTTGCAGTCCTTGTCCCACTTCTAGATAGTCTCTTTCCTGAGCAGACTGCGAAGGGGCGCAACGATAGTGGAGAAGTTCCTCACGAACTTCCTATAGTAGTGAGCTAAGCCCAAGAACGAACGCAACTCTGTTAGCGTACGCGGCGTGGGCCAATCTCGAATCGCTGCGATTTTACAGTCTTCTGGCTTAACGCCGTCTCCGTCTAAGACGTGGCCTAAATATAAAACTTGGGTCTTCGCCCAATCGCACTTCTTTGCATTGATCTTGAAGTTAGCTTCTCTCAGCTTCTCCAAGACCTGCCTGAGATGACCTTGATGTTCTTGGAGGGTCTTGCTAAACACTAAAATATCATCTAAGTAGACAACAACAAATCTATCTAACCATGGCCTAAACAAGTCGTTCATACAGCGCTGGAACGTCGCTGGCGCATTGGTTAGTCCAAAGGGCATCACTATGAACTCATAGTGCCCATATCTAGTCCGGAAGGCTGTCTTATATTGATCATCAGGATGCACCTCTATCTGATAGTATCCGGACTTCAAATCTATCTTGGAGAAGTACTTTGCCCCCTGCACTCGATCCAAGAGATCGTCTATCCTAGGCAGTGGCTCAACATTCTTCACTGTAACAGCATTCAGACCCCTATAGTCTATACACATCCTCAACTCTCCCTGCTTTTTGGGGACAAAGAGAACAGGCGCTCCAAAAGGAGACGAACTGGGCCTAATCCAACCCTTCTCAAGGAGCTCGTCTAATTGCTTGCGAAGCTCCTCCCGCGGGGACATCCTATACACGGCTCCTTTGGGAGTTCTGCTGCCAGGCTCAATGTCAATGCGGTGCTGGATAGGCCGCGGTACTACTCCTGTCGGCAGCTCAGTTAAATCTTTAAACTCCTCCAGCAGCTTCGCAATCGCATGGTCTATACGTGCCTCTTCCTTAGGCTCAGTAATTGGCCTAACATAGGCCACAAAGACCTGCTCCTCTAGCTGCTCCTTTTTGACTAGCCTTGCAAACGCAGGAGCACTAAGGCAGCAATGCGCCAGGGGGTTGTCTACCCCTGACACATGGAACAGACGGGCAGTCTTGACACCGCCTGACGGGCTAGGGAGCCTACACTCGTGCTCTCTCAAGTGGAGTGTGGCCCATGCTGCTTCTCCCCAGTCCATACCTAGGACTACGTCAAACGAGAGGCTGTCCTCTACGAGGAGAGTCAGGGAATGCAGAACCTTCTCCACTTTCCCATCCTTTTCTAGGCGGAAATACACCTGGACTCCCTCTACGTATTCCTCTACCCGCATGGTGCGGTTGTCTGCGAGGATACTTACTATAGGGTCTGCTAATCTTTGGACCTTTAACTGCAACCTCAACTTCTGTAGCGCCTTCCTACTAATATAACTACGAGTGGCTCCACTATCCACTAAGGTGCCTGCTCGTCCTCTAAATATTTCTGTATCTACTAATATAAGCTGCCCTTTATTCTCCTTCTTCATCTTGGCCCAGGCGGGCATCCTCTCCTTCAATTCTTCAGCCACGCCTGTGAGGGAGGTGTCTAGAGAGACTCTTACACAAGCAGTCTCTGGACAACGATCTAGACACCGGCCTGCAACCTCTGCCATAGGCACATGTGGTGTGGGAGTCTCTTGCTGGCTAGCGCTATGTTCCCCACATGGCCTAATGGTAGGGGCAGTTGCTACCCCTACCGGCGGCTGCCTTTTGGCCCTTGAGCAGTCGTCCGGGTCTCTGTATACTTAGGACAATATTTAATGATATGGCCCGGGTCACCGCAGTAAATGCACTGGCCCCGGTCCAGACGCTGTTGCCATAAGCCCTGGTCCAGACCCAAACTTTCCCAAGGCCTACCCTGAGGTAGCCCTGGGTGCATCCACCTACACTATAGGGAGACCTATTCCTAGGACGGTTTGCGGGGGACCTTGACCCCTTCCTCCCGCTTGGCGGTTTCCTCCTCTACCGCCAACCCCCTGATCACCCTGAAACCGGCTCCCTGAGGCCCGGCCCCCTTGGCCCTGGCCTCGTCCTCCTCCTTGCGGCCTCCCTCCAGCCGCGACAGCTGCGTAAGTTCTCCCCTGACTCGCACCGCTGTCCTCATCCTCTAACCCCCATTCAATCTGTTCGTAGGGGATCTCGTCGACGCTACCTTCGTCTAAGGTCAGGTCAAGACTATCCTTAGTCTTAACTTGCCCTGAGATAGTGCAGCCTTTCCACTGCTTCCCTCTGCCTACGTCTTTGTGCCAGAATGTAGAAATTGACACCGACTTTGCCTCAAAAGCCACCACTTCACGGCTAAGGGAATCATACGTGGTGGCAGGATCGTCGCTCTTTGCGAAGAAATGCCCTCGAAAGGCTTCAGGCAAAGCCCGATAGAAGAGGCCGACCAACTGGGTGTCTATGACCCCGTGGTCAAGTACAGCCACTAATTCGTCCATGGTGCTCTTAAGTGCCTTGGCGCTCTTCCACTTACGAGAATGGATTGTTTGGAGTTTATCTGAGGCTTTGACACTACGAGCGACATCAGCAAATCGCTCGCGCAGCAATTTCATAAACTCGGCGAGGGGGGTGAATGTGGAGTACGCAACTGCATCTTCATTGCAGTTGGCAGCGCGGACTAGGGACCTCGTGAAACTGGCGGCTTCATCTCTAAGCGCATGAATCGCAATCAACACGTGCTGATCTGGGGAGACCTGTTGCAGATGCACATAGGTCTTGACATTGGCCTCCCAATTGTCAAAGTTTTCTTCCCTCTTTCCACTGTAGGAATCGGGGAACTTAACTTTGACTGGCTCCCTACGAGGACGTGCCTCTCCTTCCTTGGGAGCTGTCGCCTTGACACCTTTAATGGCGCCAACGCAGAATCGTTCGGTCTTCTCGAGGCGATGGTTCACCTCGGCCCCAACTGCGCCTACCAGTTCACGGGCAAAATCTCGAAACCCCATTCGCATCGAGCGCACGGCCATATCCTGACTTCGACTAAACTCATATTGTCGTTCCTGTACTCGCGCCAAACGCTCAACACTCTGGGCAATGATCTATACCTTTTGTTGGAGGTCTACCTGAGGGGTCAATTGTAGAGTCATTTTTTGCACCTCCTCTAGATCTTTGACCGCTTCACTCGCCGCGTCCACCCTCTTCTTCTTCTGCCTCATCATCCTTAACTTCCATTCCATCCTCTTCTCATCTTCCATCACCTGCCGCTTCTGAGCATCTCCTTCTGCTTCCCACTCCTTCATAGCGGCTTCCTGCTCATCCTTGGGGATGTACATGGCTACCTCTTCTTCTTCCCCCAAGGATAAGTTGGCGACCCATTCTGAGATCCTCTTCTCCATCTCCTCGCTCTTGTTGCCACTGTACTGCCCTCGTTGCTCTCTTCTTCTCCAGTGGCTGATCATCTTCCTCCTCTTCTTCTTCCACCTCCTTCAGCTTCGCTTCTTCTTCTTTCTTCAACCTTTCCTTCTCCCTGGCCATCTCCTCCTCTATCTTTTTCAACTTTGCCGCCTGCTCCTCCTGTAGGGCCTTTTTCTTGGCTTCTTTCTTCTCTTTCCTTTCCCTCAGAATGACGGCCATCTTCTCCTCCTCTTCCTTGGTGTAAGGTGTAGTGGAGGTGCCGCCCCGGGTTCCTACTCTACACGTGAGCGTGGGCCAAAACCCCAGGGGGAAGAGGAGACACCAAAGGGTCCATCACAAGGAGAACCCAACAAGTAACCCGTACATCGGATAGTCATCCATGGTGTTATCAGGTGCACGACAAGGAGTCCCACTCCTTACCACTTAGACCTACCCGGACACTGACCCACTGACTGACTCTCTAAGGACCATAGGGTGGAACCCTGTCAACTATGGCCACTAATTTGGACCTACTCTAAGGCTGTCACTACCGAACCAACAGCTGATCTGGAGGCATTTAAGGAGATCCCCCAAACTCGTAAGAATTCTTTAACGTCGTTGACAGGACGACTTGATCAGCTTGGTTCTTACCTGTGCTTTCAGCCCACAACTCAGCCTTTCCGGCCTACTGTGCTACACCGAGCAGCCCGCCGGTCTGTACCGGTCCTTGGGAGGGTTCGTATCCCCCGGGACAGTCGAGTCGTCAGACACAGATCCTCAGCCTTACTTGGTCCGGTAGGGGAGTGGTTCGAACAGACCCTCAACACTTAAAGACTGCCTGGTGTGTCAGCCTTAGCTGCCGTTCAGGCCCACTGAGTCCTACCAACCGTTTCCAGCCGGTCAGCACCGGTCCTTGGGAGGGTTAGGCCCCCCTGGAAAGTTGGATCAGCCACAGTCTCAGCCCTACAAGGTCAGACTAAGGTTTCGTCATCCAGACCTATCCTTCATGCACAGAGTACTATCACTTAGGACAGGAGAGACTCGATGCAGAAAGAGGAGACAGACAGACTCAGACTCAGCAAGTACTGTAGGGTGAGTGCACATCCATAGGGTGAGGGGTAGGCTAAGGGCTTGGCGAGATATTACCAACTCCAGCTTGGTCCAGGTCTTGGTCAACGGCGCCGGTCAACTCCTCGGTCAACACTGAGTCAACGCTGCAAGACCCCGATCAACACCTCGGTCAACCTTCCGGTCAACCCTCCGGTCAACTCTCCACCTCGGCTATGGCTGCCGGCACCTTCACCTTCACCGCCCTTGTCTCTTTCTTCCCCTACCTTCACCTTCTTCTTCCTTGCTGTCTCTCTCTTTTTTTTTTTTTTTTTCACCCTCGGCTATGTCTGTCTTCTTCTCCGATGTCCCTCCTTCCACACCTCTTCCTCTCTCTCTTTCCTCGGTCCCTCCTTCTCTGTCCTCCTTCGTCACTCTGTGGTACAGCTCCGCGGCTATGGCCGCTTTCTTCCTCCCTCGTACGTAACAGCCAATCTTGTATCGCTCATCTCTCTCTCTCTCTCTCTCTCTCTCTCTCTC